CTGCACCTTGTTGTCAAGAAGTAATGGATGTTGACTTGCTGGATTGTAGCGCTGTATTTGACTAAGTAGCACATTTAAAAAGTTGGTTAATAAAGTTAATAAAGTTAAGGCTTATGGATTAGGAGGGTCAGTGTCAGCTGGTTAAAATGGTTACTTCTCAGAGTGCGGCTGAGAGTCATCACAGCAGAATTCTGGGAGATATCACCAGTCATCACGACTGTACAGCAGGTCAGAGAGAATCTGGTGTCAAGGACGTTGGTGTTTCCTACCATCCCTCCTCTGACCACAAAAACGGGGTTTTGAGGAAGACAACTGGCAAGGTAAAGGTGTACATGGTAGCAGCAATTAAGAGAGTGGGCCAGTGTTAGATTGGAAGTGCTGAGGCCTTTGCTGGAGAGAAGGCTAAGCAGGGGTACAGGTAAAAGCAGATTAACTCTACTTTCTTTCTGTCTGGACTGAAGGCAGTGGGGATGGCAGTTAGGGGTGGTGGCATGCTCCTCTTGCAGGATGTGGGAGGTCAGGGAGACTTCCAGTTTCCCTGGTGACTACAGCTGTGAGAACTGCACCCAGCTGCAGCTCCTGACAGACCACATTAAAGAACGGGAGCTGGAGCTGGATGCACTCAGGATCATCTGGGGCGCAGAGAACATCATTGGTAAGATCTATCGTGAAGTGGTCGCTCGTAAGGTGCAGGGTGCAGGCTGGTGACTACCAGAAGGGGGAAAACAGGTAGTGCAGGGTTCCCCTGTGGCCATTCCCCTCAATAACAGGTATACAGCTTTGGATACTGGTGGGGGGCAAGACCTTTCAGGGGCTCGCAGCAACACAATCAGGTCAGTGGCACTGTGACCAGCTCTGAGGTTCAGAAGGAAAGGTGCAGGCAGACAGAGCAATACTGATAGGAGACTCAGTTGTGAGGGGGTCAAACAGGAGATTCTGTGGCTGCAGAAGAGACACCAGGATGGTGTGTTGTCTCCCAGGTGCCAGAGTCAAGGATGTCTCTGAGCAGTTGCAGAACATTCTGAAGGGGGAGGGTGAACAGCCAGAGGTCATTGTGCACATCGGTACAAATGACACAGGAGACAAAGGGATGGGGTCCTGTGAAATGAGTGTAGGGAGTTGGGTAAGAAGTTAAAAAGCAGGACCTCAAGGGTAGTAATCTCTGGATTACTCCCAGTGCCATGTGCCAGTGAGGATAGAAATAGGCCAGATGAATGTGTGGCTAAGCAGCTGGTGTAGGGGGCAGGGTTTTCAGTTCTTCGATCATTGGGATCTCTTCTGGGGTAGAGGTGACCTGTACAAGAGGGATGGGTTGCACTTGAACCAGAGGGGGTCCAATATCCTCACGGGGAGATATGGTAGCGTTACTCTGGAGGGTTTAAACTAGTTTGATGGGGAGGGGGATGGGACGTAAATAAGAGAGGGGCCATGGAGAAGTCAGGGGAAAATACATTAGCCGTTGAGAGCAAGTTTACTATGCAGGATAGCCAGGGGGACAGTAAAAGGAGGGAGAAGACTTCTGGTTTAAAGTGCATTCATTTCAACGCACGAGGCCGGACTGGTAAAGCTCAGAGCATGGATTGGCTCTGGGGAGTGGAATATTATAGCCATAACAGAAACATTGCTGAGAGAAGATAGGGACTGGCTGCTCAATGTTCCAGGATACAGAAGCTACAGACGTGACAGAAGTACAAGTAAGTAAGGTGAGGGAGTTGCCATTTTGATAAGGGACTACATAACAACAGCGCTCAGAGAGGATATTCTTAAGGGGTCATCAAATGAGGCCATATGGTTAGAACTTAGAAACAAGAAGGGGATTGTCACTCTGTTGAGACTGACAGGTGGACAGTGTGACAAAGAAGGCATTTCGCATGCTGGCCTTCATCGGTCGAGGCATTGAGTATAGGAGTTGGGATGTTATGTTATAGTTGTATAAGTCGTTGGTGAGGCCGCACTTGGAGTATTGAGTACAGTTTTGGTCACCCTGTTATAGGAAAGACACAGTTAACCCGGAAAGCGTGCAAAGATGATTTATGAGAATGTTGCCAGGACTAGTAAGCCTGAGTTATAGGGAGAGTTTGGCCAGGATAGGACTTTATTCCTTGAAACATAGGAGAATGAAAGGTGACCTTATTGAGGTGTATAAAATCATGAGGGGCATAGATAGATAGATGAATGCAAATAGTTTTTTTTCCTAGGGATGGGCAATTGAAAACTAGAGAGCACAGGTTTAAGGTGAGAGGGGATAGATTTAAGAAGGACCTGAGGGGCAACTTCTTTACGCAGAAAGTGGTGCATATATGGAATGGGCTGCCAGAGAAAGTGGTTGAGGCAGGTACAATGGCAATATTTAAAATACATTCGGATAGGTACATGGATGAGGAGTGTTTAAAGGAATTATGGACCAAATATGGGCAACTGAAACTAGCTGAGTGGGCACCATGGTCAGCATGGACTAGTTTGGGCCAAAGGGCCTATTTTCATGCCGTATTACTCTATGACTCAGAAAGAAAGATCGTGGACAACGGAGTCCCTCAAGGGTCACTGCTGAAACTGCTTTTTTGTTTTAAACTATATAACATATGAAACTAGTAAATTTAGGTGGGGTGGACACAGCCCAGTGAAGTCGGTACACTTTGAAAATCAAGTAACAGTATAGAGAGTAAAGAAACAGTCAGGAATCCGACTCCAGGTATGGCAGGCTATGGCAAAGTATAAGAAATTTAATGACTAAACTGGAAGAGAGAAATAATAAGCAGGTGAACAAAACATCAGTGCTAAGGGACAGCTTAGAGTATATGGCCCGAATGGGCATTCTATATATAAATACATGGAGTGTAAGGAATAAATTAAATGAGCTGTAGGCACAAATTCAAATTGGAGGTTATGATATAGTGGCCATCACTGGCACTTGGGTTCAGGATGGTTGGGAAAGGGAACTAAAACCAAATAACAGGCCTTACAGTATAGATTGGGAAAATGGCAGAGGAGGTGAAGTTGTCTTACTGATTAGAAATAGAATAACCTTGTTTGAGATGGAGTGCTATTCGTGGAGCTCGAACATTTTTCCCACTCTCTTGGCCAACTCTTCACCAGCAACACCACCAAAAGCAGATTAATTATTATCATACTGCTATTTGAATATCATACTGTGAGCAAAGTGCTTGCTCACAAACCTTATAACTCGGTTTTAGTTCCCTTTCCCAACAATCCTGTAGCCAAGTTTCAGTGATGGTGACTATATTGCAATTCGTACCTTATTCCCTGCACTCCAAAATAAATTTATTGTTTGTGAAATAAGTTATTTGAAAGATACAATAAAGTGCTAAAAAAAGCAAATCTTCCTTTTAAGGTAACACATAGAAGCATTTGAATGTGTCTGAGAAAGCAGAACAAAAATGCCTAAACGTAATTTCATAGAACTTGCATGTTTGTAATCTCCTTCACTCCTCACACACCTTTATTTCTTCACTCTGTATTCTTTGTATCTCATGTTCCATTGGCGACTCCCGAAGAAACTGCATCTCAGGGTCACTGCCTCCGTTTCTCAGCTCATTATGTCTGTCCAGCTCCTGTAACAGACGATCCTTTTCAGCCATCCAGACTTTCTCAGCATCTCGACCCTCAAATTTTAGCTGAAGGAAGTCTTTGGTACTCTCATAAAGTAGATTCTGAGTTTTGTGCAATCTGGGGGAAAATGCAAACCATTTGACACTTCATAGAATCATAGAATTCCTCCAATGTAGAAGCAGGCCATTTGGCCCATCGAGTTGACACTGACCCTCCAAAGAACAGCCCACCCAGACCCAGCCCCCTACTCTATCCTGCATTTCCCACCCTATGCACTATGGGCAATTTAGCACGGCCAATCCACCTAACCTGCACAACTTTGGACTGTGGGAGGAAACCGGAGCACCCGGAGGAAACCCACGCAGACACAGGGAGAATGTGCAAACTCCAACACAGACAGTTGCCTGAGGTGGAATTGAACCTGGGTCCCTGACAATGTGAGGCAGCAGTGCTAACCACTGAGCTGCTGTGCCACCCCGTGAAGGTTTCATTTACCTCTACTCTGTTGGCAACATAACCCAAGAAATAGCCTATATACAGGTATTTGAGCTGTCGTTCACTTATAGTCACTGAAATAGACTCAAATTCCCTGATATCCAGTTCCATTTAATACTAAATCCCCATATCCAGTTTTAGAAACTCCTAGCCAAATCAGGACCAGACACCTTCACAAATTACCTCCACACTTATGGCCTCCCAAAGAAAGGACTCTTCCCTCAAGTGATGCTCACAACTAGATCTCTGTGCAGGGAGATCCAGGTTTTCAGTCACATGTAAAGATAATGCAAAGTTAGAAGGGGCCTGGGGATAAGTGCTGACCTGACTTAATACAACATACGACAGTAATGCAGTTCAGCATCAAAGTAGTCATCAACCTCCACTAGGAGAATAAACAAAATTAGTCAAGAGTCATATTGCTGTGAAAGGATTTTGCATCCCCATCAGTGCAGCAATAATTGATTCTTCTTTTAATCCTGCAGTGCACTTATTGTAGCAGGAAGTTCTAAATTTCCTTGCAACTAATGTGAACTGTGTGCTACTAAATTTATTCTCCAAAGTTTCACCTTACAAAGCTGACAAGCCCGTGTTTCCTGTCTTTTCTCACAACTCAGGATCTCTGGAGATTAATCCATGACTCTACTTAGCATTGTCTACAGTAACTCAACATCTCACTACAAACTCAGTTATCATAGACCATCTGTATTTCATAGAATCCCTACAGTGTAGAAACAGGCCCTTTGGCCCAACTAATCCACACTGACCCTCAGAGCATCCCACCCAGATCTGTCCCCAAATAACCCACTTAATCTACACATCTCTGAACACTACGGGCAATTTAGCATGGCCAATCCACCTAACCTGCACATCTTTGGACTGTGGGAGGAAACCGGAGCACCTGGAGGAAACCCACGCAGACATGGGGAGAATGTGCAAACTCCACACAGACAGATTCCGCCCAAAGGTGGAATTGAACCCAGCTCCCTGGCGCTGTGAGGCAGCAGTGCTAACCACCGAGCCACCGTGCTGCCCAGAGTGTGGTAGTTTTATCACCAACATCTGCAGCATCACCGTCAGTGGCTCCCTAGTCCCATTATCCTACTGACAAAAACCTCCTCCTACAACTATCTTTTTCCCATTTATATGGGAGTGTTGGCTAGGTCACATTAATGGCAGATCCCAAGTTGTCATTGAGAAAGTGGTGAGCAGCCTTCTTGAACCACTTGGGGTACAGGTACACACACAGTGCTGTTTGGAAGGGAGTTCCAGAATTTGTAATTAGCGACAGTGAATCAAGGATAATATAGTTCTAAATCAAGACGATATAAAACTTGAAGGGAAACTTCCTAATTGTGTTCCCGTAGGTCTCCTGATCAAGTTCTTCTTGGTGGTAGAGTTAGTAGGAACTGCAGATGCTGGAGAATCTGAGATAACAAGGTGTAGAGCTGGATGAACACAGCAGGCCAAGCAGCATCAGAGGAGCAGGAAG